TCAAACGAGAAACAATTCAGGAACCTTTAACTGTTTCCAGGTATTTAGAATAAACACATTTTCCAAGGAGCCGGAGCTTCACAAGCTAGAGCTGGAGTTCCCCGCTTAGCCAGCTCCTCTGGGGTATTCCCGGGAGCGGTCCCAGCTGAAGCAAAACACAGCAGGGGCTCAGACCTGCTCATACCAACCATCTCCTCCTGGCCTTTACCTACTGCCTTCTCCCCTCCTGATGACCATCTACCCTGTAAAGCACTGATGAATCAAGAACATTTACAGACCAAGGCCTGGAGTAAAGAACTGGCCACCACAGCAAAATCCCAATGCAAACCTCAGCTCCTGCTCTCCATCGGTAAGATCTCCACGCAAAGAGCCAATAAACCAGTCCAGCTACTCTCCTGCAAGGTGAAATGAAGAAGCTGCTATTTTTACACACTAACAAGAGGGATGGAGCCATTCTACCTCGCTCTTTTGACGAGTGGGAACGGATGAATGACCTTCCTCAGAGGCAGCCTCGCAGAGGACACACACTTACCTGATCCAAGAAGCAATGCCTCACAAATAGGACGCTTCTCCATCTGTCCTCAAGAATAAATTCCTGAAAGGAAAAATTTCCTCCTTTGGTTAAGGCCCTTGGTTAGAAGGAAAACTAGTTAACTGCCATCTTCCCTTATCTTGAGGCACCGTTTAACACAGGAAGTAAGAGACGCTGCACTGCAAACCACCACCAAAAAGGCTTTCATATAAATGATAATTTTATTGTAAATAAAACGATACATTGGCCTGGCTTTGCACTGCAAGCCCCCAGTCGGTATATATAGACTACTGGTTCAAGGTCTTCTGCACAATCCAGGTTAAAGCAATTTCTCCCTGCTCTGCACACTTTACGTCAGACAATAAAGTCCTTTCCTTCATTTCTGAACTGCACTTTAGGCACATCTGCCTTTTCCAACTGGGAAATTCAGAGCTGCTCAGTGAGATTTGCCCCTAAACAAGGCTGGAGTTTAAAGATCTAAAGCCCAAACTCCATTAAACCACAGAGGAGATGTATTTTTTTCTGAAAATGAAAGACAGACTGAATACTCCCAGCTCCTAGGGCAGGTACCAAGGTGACAGCCACAGGACTGTACGTATTCAAATATGTAAAACCTTTCCGGCCAGCAGCTATTAACCTAAGCACCAAACACTGGGACCCCTGTACAGCTCGAAGTATCTGGCCTTTGCCTACCAGAGAAAGCTTGTACAGCAGGGATGTATATATTTACTGAGGTTTCACAAATTATCCTGGCTCTCTGGGCACTTGGAAATAACATGTGTCACCTGAGCAGGTACTAATTTCCCTCTCGATCAATTTGTTTTGGTAATTAATGGCAGTGGGAACTGTTTGGAGCATCTTCAAGTCCTTTGGAATATTACTCCAGAAATACGAAGAAAGAAAATCCACATTGCTGCAACCTACTGCCACTAGAATAGGCAAAGATCAGTTAACTGGAGAACAAGCAAATAACCTGGAATGCACAGAATCGTCACACCGAGACCAAAATGCCAATAGTTTGTTTCCTAACAAGCTCAGGGACAGCCAAATCCCCCATTCCCCCAAGTTCCTCTCCCATGGGAATGTCAGACATTTTGCTGCTCAGTTTCAACTGTTTCAGGATAACAGGACTCCGAGAAGGTATTTTTCTTCAAACGGAATATTCTCCATTTCTGCAGCGCCTTCCATCAAGGATCCCAATTCTCAATATTCACTATACATCCCTCCCTGGAAGGAACAGCAGAAAATGCAACATGACATTTGGAATGGACACAATAGCTTATTGTTAGCCTGGGACAACTCCTCCACTCTCCCCTAAATGAGTTTATTCCCAGTTTTTTCCAATTCTGCCAGGATAAAGAAGACAGATGTAATTCAATTTAAAGGTATAATTACATTTATGTCCACTTGAAACTTTTTTGCTGCCAGGGCTGTGTTAAGAGACTGTAGTCTAAGTGTTGGCCCCAAGCTTATTCACCGTAGCGGTGGACTTAGGAATCCAGATCTTCCTTTTCCATAATCAAGAGGGCCGTGAGGAAACAAAGAATGCATTTTGGCTTGGCTCTACTCGTTATAAACCATCAGCAAATTCTCTGCAAAACCAGCTGCTTTTTTTCCTTTTTAAATTCATAAAGGCGTCAAATTTATTTCCCATCCTCCCCCCTACCCCGTAACAGTCGAGTCGATATATATAAAAATCACCAAATATGATCTTTTACGATATAAATAAAAAAAAAAAGTATGAGGCATCACCGTTTACATGATGTAAAAAGAGCTAAAAAAGAGCGATATAAACTACATTCATAAAAGTGCATCTCCAAACATACAAGTAATGCTTTGGCTTGTTCCTGTGCCGAACGGGTGGCATTGGGTCAGGTACTGGGATACAAGAAGTCCAAGCTGGCACCCCATGTTCTCTGTCACTGTACAATCGCTATTTACTTCCATTAATACAGACTGGAATACACGTGTATACACAGAGGAGGCACATTTCAGCATAGGTGGTGGGAAGGACCAGAAGCTCTGGCGGGGAGAGGACTGAGCCCATCAGTCCACGATGCTCTTTGCTCTGCTCTGGAACAGCCTTCCATGACGCAAATGAGGTAAAAGCCACAACAGATCCTGAGGATTTAGTTGCTTTGAGACATTAAAAGTTACACCATTTCCTCACGCCCTATTCTCTCCCAAAACACGACGTGTGGGACAGCATGGAAAGACCACGGAAGAAGGTCTCAATTTGGTGCGGACAAGCCCAGGGTAGAGAGAAACCTACACAGACGGCACCACTGCACTCTTGGTTGCTGCTGCACGTCTGCAGGCTAAGCGTGATGAATAAAAGATTCCAATCTTTGGTATATTTAGGTGCTAGTTACAAGGCTTGAAGAGTGCTACGGGCCCCACAGGAGTGCTGACCACCCTACTTCTGTCATCAAGACTCCAGGAATGATTTCACATTCCCCTGCAGTATACACAGCCATTTACACCGCGGCAAAGTGGTGTAAAACGCTCCCTAAAACAGAATAGAAGTGTCGTGCCCTCGCTTCCCTTCGGTGTGACAGTGAAGTGCAGGCCAAAAATCAGGCCACGTGTCTTGACGATTTGGAGTCAAGTTCCAGGTTTGGAAAAGATCAATAGAAGTGCTCTCACTAGAATTAAATAAATTATGGAAGAAGGGCTTTCATAAAAGATATCCCCCTAAGTGCCTGCAACCTAAACAGTGCATCCTTGTAGTAGTGCAGGAGAGCCTGAAAGCAAAAGCAACACTAGCTTGCTTTCACTGATTACACACTGCTCTGAGTTTGGCACAGAAAAAACACTTCAGATCGTTAAACCCTTTCAGGGCTTTTGGTTGTTTGAGGTTTTTTAGGGTTCTTTTTTTCCTCTTTGAATTTGACACAGTATTTATCATGTAGTCAAGGAGCTTAGTTTCATTAAAACTTGCCTTATCCTGCTATTAGCATTCACTTACAAACTGTTAATCTGACTGCATTATGAAAGCAATTTTCAAGTTTTTATGTGGGAGAAGAGTGGAGCTATGTGGACCCTTAATACGGTTTCCAATACAAGAGCAGAACACCTTTAGCCTTGCTCTATAAAGCAGTATTTTAGCTAATAATACATTTGCTTTTCTCAGTTTCATTTCACACAGATAACTTATAATTACTCCACGAATCCCCAGCATTTAAAAACTGCTGGTCTTTTCTAAGTGAAATAAGGATTATTAGTGCCCAAACCAACATACAGTATTTGAGGCCAGGAACCCATCAGGAACTCAGTTCTCAGAGATGTGGTACCTTTCAAATGCAAAATCACTGGGATACATTTTGTTGGTACCTGTATGGGGATCTCCAGTTAATTTTCAGAAATATGCTAGCATTACAAATGTTCTCTCTGGTTCACTGTTTGACGTAACTCGTACAAAAGCTTATTTAAATAGGACCCTAATATTTTATGGAAACCTTAAATGAACACTTGCACACCTGTAAAACAAAACACACACACTGAAGGGTTAGGCTTGATTCTAACTTACTGTGCACAAGTAAAACTCATGTCCAGCAAATTCTCCCTGTGAAAAACTCAACTTTCCATTAGGCCAGATCTTCAAAGAAACACATAAGCTTTTACTGGAGTAAATTCCTGGGCACCAGATGAACTATCTTTGGTTTAAGGGATGGTAAGAAGTCACCAGCCAAAAAGGTGCAACAGAAAGCTGTTCCGCAGAACTCCCTTCCAGAAGGGTTTTGTTTAGACCCAGCATCCCAGGGAGATGAAGCAGGAGCACAGATTTGTTGGCTATGAGGACACAAACTAACCGACACTATCTTAATGCTAGGACAGATCAAGCCTTGGAAATCAAGCTCTGGGTTTTCTAATGTCAGTAGGAGAGCCTGTATCTCAGGCCCTGGAGTGATTGCATTCTGCTGAAACTTTTCTGATTATCCTGACAGTTAGCTAGAAAGACCTCCCTCACCCCCACCCCAAAATCCATGGTAACATTATAAAATAACACTATTCACATACTTTTGAATCAATATTTTCTGAACACCTTCAGATGCTGAATACTTAAGAAGAAAAATATATAATTATATAGCGAGCGCGTGCTCAATGACACATGGCTTTTTGCTGGATTCATGTACTATAGATGCCTCTAAAGCCCTAGCAGAGTCTGGAAAACAGTGACCCACACATAGAGAGCTGGTCTGGATGGCTGTTGCACATTTCTGTTCTGAAGAGTGTAGCTCTTCCAGTTCCCACTTTGGTTCAGATTTCTTCTATGTTCAACCAGTGAGATGCTCCTTAGATTCCCATTCTTGGACCTGCAGAAAACATGCAGCCAGCTGCAATTTCACATCAAGGTAACTAGGGCAAAAATGCAGCTCTGTTTGGACAGCTGTCGGTAGAATAAACATTAGTCCAGCAAACAAAGGTATCAGGCACAAGAGCAGACCCTAGGTTCCTTGGCATAATTTCCCCAAAGGACTAGGACAGCTGAGTTGGCATTTTGAAGATGCAGCACCACAACGGGCAGTTGCAACTAGACCAGACGGGGCACTGAAAGCCCAGCAGGAGCTACTTAGCAAGGGAGGTAATTCAGTACTGGAGCTGTGCAAACTGATGTCTGAGCAGCTCTTCAGCAGAGGGCCTGTGCCTGGCTTCCACAAAGATCTGCTTTAGAAAGTCCCGGCAATGTTCTGATATGTGAGAGGGGAGCTGGGGGTTGGTTGGTTGGGTGGCGATTTTGAAAATGGCTGCCATGGCTTCGTACTCTGCCCAGGGTGGTTTCTCTGTCAGCATTTCCACAACAGTACAACCGAGGCTCCTGGAAAAGCAGACAGAAATGAAAAAAAAAGTGAGAATTGACTCACACAATAATGCACAGTGTTCAGAGAGAACTTCCAAGCAGCCAACATCAAGGTACAGCTCTGAAAACAGCTATAAAATGGCTTTGTGCTCAGCAAACCCCATGTGTGCAGATTCTGAGCCAGACCTGCCAACGTCACTGCTTTTACTACTGTCAGGCTAGCAGTAAAGCGCTGAGACAGGGAGGCTGCTTTCCACTGTGGTTCTTGCTGCACTGAGAGCTGTGAAGCACCATCTGTCCAGCTCTCCTTCGCTCAGACGCCGCTCTCAGGAAGTATTTGCATTAACAACAGGGGACAAGAGGTGCACACGGGATGTCCCTGAAGGCAACGTTTGACCTCAGTGGTATTTCGGGTGCTGCTGCTGATACGTGTCAAAGGCACTTGCTGAGTTGCAAGGCAGAAAACATACTTTTCAAACAAGGTCCAGTGAATCAGAGCTGGTCGACCCAACAGAGCCATTTCAGCAAAATCCCTTTTCAGTGCACAGCCTCAGAATGCCCATGTGGGAACCGCCCCCCCCCCAATATCTCCATTTCACAAGAAACCAAGCATCGCAGACAGTCAAGAAATAATTAAAGTCTTACGAGCTCCAAACTGAGAAGGCAGTAAGTTAAAACGCCAGTAGGCAGATGCATCATTATGTTAAGGCAAAACTCCTAGTAAAGTTAACAGGGCTCTGCAGGCTAATTCAAGGCAAGAACGTGATTATGGGGACGGACACAGCCGAGCCACCTTTCTGAAGCAAGCCTGACACTGATACTTTCACTACTTTCTGTAGTACTGTAGTGATTAGGTTTTGTTCAAAAAGGATTAATTGCTTCCTCCAGGACACAGATTAAGCAAAAGCAGTTAGTGAACTTCTAATATCCAGTCCTGTGTTTTGATCACATCGTTCCATTAAAAAGGCAAAATTGTCTGTTCTGCCTTTAGACTAAACCTTCTTTTGAAGTGAAAAGCAAAGAAAAGACATTTTCAGAGGCAGACTTGCATCAATTGCCAAGACAAGGAAGGAAAGGAATTAAATCCAGCGAATATGCAAGAAATGACTTCTTGACAAGGTTTAAAATCCAACGTGAAAATTTTACACTGGTTTCCAGCCATTTAAGACTTACTAGAAGAGAGTACAGAAAATGCAAACCATGTGTGCTGAAGTGCTGGGGGTTTACTCAAGAGCAAGCAGGGATATATTATTGTTTAGACTGATTTATACCGTTTAAGCAGATCCGGTTTCTTTAAGATATTCAGCAAGCAGCAGTAATGTTTTTCATGTCAAGTCACTCCAGCAATAACAAATAGCTCACATATTCTGCTATTTAGGAAAAAGAAAATTGGAGAGGGGCCTGCAGCAGTGGCGGAAAGCCAGGTGGCTAGATTTGTTACGTCTTTGAGCCTTTCGGCCATACGCATCCACCCTGGGACTAACGCTGCACTGGAAAATTCTGACCCCCCTAAATAATGATCAGGATTGTAGGAACTGGAGCGCAGCCAACGGCAGCGTCTCTTTGATGGGAATGGACCGATGTCAGCACCAAGAGGAAATCCACAACTGCATCAACCCAGGGGGAAGGGCACGTGCTCCATTCTCTCCCCAAGCATCCCAACTGGGAGAGTGTGCAGAACTTAACTCTTTGTGTACGAGAAACATTTCAGCTGTGTTTCCACTCACTGCTTGTACAGGAAACTGCACAGGCTTTGCATTACTGTGGAGACACAAACACACCTTTTGTTGTGGTCGTTTAATTTAGTTTATCATCCCACCTTTTCAGGCCTCCAAAACTAACATTTTGACACAGGACTGTTTTTTCTTTTTTTTTTTTCCTCCCGATAGAGACTGTTTCTTGGCTATGCCAATAATAGCATGGCTACAGTTTCCAGTCATGCATACTTCAGATCACCTCTGATCTGACCTGCATCTTCTATGTTATTCCAGGTTTGGGCATCTTTCCTTTAAAGCTTTGTCAACATACTCCAATTCTATTCTTTTAATTTCCACAGTGTTATAAGCATATCTCTCATTTTATAACAAAATGAATGGATGCTCCCTAAACAACCTTCATTCTCTCTTATAAGGCATGTAAGAAGGATGGAAACCTCAAACGAAAAAGTCAGAAAACAGAAAATCAGCTATCAGGTTGAGGGAGGAACAACTAGAAATTGTTCCTGAAAAACTAAAGGAGCAGCTGTGTGTTGACATTGCAAAGCACAACCTGCAGCAGGTCATGTCTTGAGTTCAAATCAACTACTTCAGTTCACCTTAAACTTTTGATCCAGACAAAATCTGATTTTGGATATTTGGCTGAGAGAAGGTGTATGTCTTATCTTGCTCCAGAAAAGCTGTAAATTGATCTATGGACAGAAAGTTAAAGCCTCACCATACGTCGGCTTTTCTTCCATAGCCTTCTCCGCTGATCACCTCCGGGCTCATCCAATATGGCGTGCCAGTGACAGAGCAGATGCCTGTTCCAGACATACAGATTGTCTGCAGCCGTTTGCTGGCCCCAAAGTCCCCAAGCTTCACATTCCCAGCAGAGTCACGGAGAATATTGGCTCCTGGACAAAACCCAAAGATTTGAGACAGCTTTTTTCATGCAATCCAGCTGTTGGATCCGCAGCCTACAGAGCTGATATCCAACCCAGAAATACCCATGCTCATGGTATGGCTTTTTCCCCATTAAGCCTCAGGTGACCTGCTAAACATCATTTCTTTATTTCAGGCTGTAGACAAGCCAATTGCTAATGGCTGCAAATGGGAAAAACTTCAGGGGAAAAACACAAGGAAGTGAAGGGGGAAGGGAAACAAGAGCTGAGTCAGCACTGTCATTGTTACACTGCCTGTAAACAGCCTATGCAGGGCCCCCAGGCCAACGGCTGAGACAGTACATAGCTGTGTAGAAAAGGATTTTATTGGGATGCTGCTTTGGTGAGTATAATCATTGCTTTCTGGTCAGCTGGGTAACAGATGTAGCTAATTAAACCACTTCGAACTCCTACAATAAACAAGTCAATCTCCACTTTACTCGGTCAGAGGTCCTGAACATGAAGCACCAGGGAAAAAAGCAAACTTCAGAGCTTAGTTTCTATGTGGACACAAACTAAGGCTTAGACACGAAAAACAATTCTTCCTCCAAAGCCGCAACAAGATCAAGAACCCCGTATTGCCATTATCTGGTATGTGCCTATGTGAACTCCTTTGGTCCTCAAATAAAATGCACTTGTGCTGGGACATGCTTTATCATTTCACTTCCCCACTGGAAGAGCTGAATTCAGAATAACAAGTCTGTCCACCCAGCACCTTGGAGACAAGTTAACAGTTTGGCTTAGAAGATGGGTGCAAACTAGTGACAAACCCACCAGGTAGGAAATCATTTGGTAAAGAGCACCACATGAGCAGCATACAAGGTGTTATTCAGGAATCAGCAGCTCATTTCCCTTTGCCAGCCTAGAGGGGATGCAATGAAGATTTATAGGCAGGAACAAGAGGATATTTTTCCTGCAGCAAGCAACCCTCCTGGTCCCTCTAGAGCACAGAAAAATGTGTGTGGTGTCTGCCACATATGTTGACATTAACTCTTAAGGAGACTGGCTGGCTCCATGGGGTTATATTGGGAAGAGGAAGATTAAGGACTAATCCCAGAGGCTCTACATGGAAGATTAGCGGTCTTACAGAGAGGAGGCAGGATGGTCACAAGAGCCTGAGGTAAGCAGGACTGTCGAGAGCAGGCATGGAGCTCTTATGGCAAATTGGTATGCCTACCACCTGAAAAACGGTACTTTGGCCAAGCAGAGATGAAATCAGATGGGAATCCATAGGGAAATGAGTGTGTCTTGGGTGGCAGTAAAAGGCAGGCGGCAACTCAGCCTCATTTTGCTGGGGTATGACAGAAAGATGAGGAGTTACAGAGGAGTGTTCCTAAGAATTAGAGGCTTCCAGTCTTCCTTGCTATAATCAACTGCCATGCTGTCAGGTCCTGTAGAGGGAAGAGCCCAACCTCCCTTACCCAGCCCTCAACACAACCTTCCCTAAGGCCTACACAGGGATATAAGACCAAAAAGGGATAACTGAGCAAAGCAATGTTCAGAAGCCCCAGCCACGATACTGAATTCTTAACGCTTGGTTTCTTTTTTCAGAGTTCCTTTAGCTCGTGGTCTATACACAAATCACCAACTGATCTTACCTTTAATGTCCCTGTGCACAATCATGTTGCTGTGAAGGTACGAGACTCCCTCGAGAATCTGGCGAGTGTATTTCCGGGTTACATTTTCCGTGAGAGCACCATACGCCTTCAGCTGGTCTTTCACTGATCCCTGCACCAAAAGCAAACAGAAGGGATTGGCAAAGAAATGACAAACCACAAATCTTGCGGTCTCCATTCAATTGCCATGAGCTGTGACTGTATTATACACCCAACAGCACAGTAATGAATTCTGGCCTCTACTAAAGCCTTTTTGTGAGGCGCTCAGAGCATCTTGCCCTGTGAAACCCCTTTTAAGAAAAGCAAGGACATGCTTTACTGCAAAAATAGCTTAAGGAGGTTCTGTCTGCTTCCTCCATCCTTGAGCTGCGCTGGTACAACTGCTTGTGAAGACAAGCAATAAAATAGTTCAGCAGAGTGATCTGGGTCAAAAGTCTTGCAGGGTCAGTTTTAGCCTAATTTGCTGTATGATACAACTCTGCTAATTCAGTTAGCCTGATTTACAAGTTGGCCCAAGTGCTCTGAAGTACTTTCTTAGAACAAATTTAGACTGAAGAACTGGTGTTAGTGACTAATGAAGAGAATGTATTTCAAGCATGAGATACTACCAAAAACCCCAAAGATGTGGTTTGGGCATAAATAAAAGGAAAGTGCTGGCATTATAAAGCCAGAATGAGAAAGGGGCATACTTAAGAGGCGGATTACACAGTTATGGTAATCACAGTAACTACTAAACCAACTAACAAAACCAGCCTTCTCACTTTATGATCTGCAACTGTGCTGCTCGTGTCAGCTCTTACCCCTGGCATGTACTCCATGAAGATGGTCAAGGTCTTCTCTGCTCGATCCCGTAAGCAGCCATAATACTGAACAATACGTTCATGCTGGAGATTCTTCAGCAGCTGAATTTCACACTCTAGGGCACTCACTTCCTATGGATGTTGAAGGAGAAAATAAGGTTCCAGCCCCAGGAAATATTCCATCCTAATAAATCTATGTCACTGTAAGGGTGAGGCCACTACTACACTGAAGAAGTCCAATCCATGGCATTGGCTCACCAATCCATGGCATTGGCTCACCTAGCTCTTGGGAAAGGCAAACATTACCAATACTTCACATTAATACCTATAATAAGCAGGAAAGTATTGGTGCAGAAGCTTTGATAGTTAGAACACAGGAAGTATCATGGATTATATATGGATTTAGTACCAGAAAAACTTTGTTTCTTGATTCTGTCAGCTGAATGGCTTTAGCCAAGTTGGTTGAAAGCATTCTTCATGCACAACACAGATATAACCTCACTTCTCACCACTAAACTAAGGGCAGCATTCATTTCAATTAAGAAGAAGCTCTGAATACACAGTTACAGAATTACTACAAATCTTTCTGTAGGAACCTCAACCCATTAGAGAGCAAGACTACAGGAGCTAAGAGTTCCTAAACTTCTTTTTTCACCCAGGCCTGTTCTGATTCACACTGATGATTTTACTTGAATCAACCTTAGAAACAGCTTCCTCTCTTAATTACTTCAAAGAATCTGCAGCTATGCACATGAAACTGATTCTCTGCTTTATTCCTGCCACAGACAACAGGGTATCATAGCGCAAAGACAAAAAGGCTATCCAACAATTTCAGACTGAATAAGAGATGTTTGTTGCCCAGGAAAAGTATCAGGTTCTTGCTGAATCCAGGGAATGAACAGGCTGAACATCAAAGGTACTGGAGCATGAGAATTTATGGAAAAAGGAATGATGGTTTCCCCAAAATTAGTCCCACTTAACTCTCTCCACTCCTGCCACTGGAAGGTGCCAGTTCTCTCGCTTTGGGAGAGGGTGCAGTTCTTCAAGAGCAAGGACTTGGGTGCTGCAGAGGTGCATGGAACCAGAGGAAGTTGTTTAATCGGGCCAACTGATAGTTTTAAGGTTTGGAGTTTCAGTGCCTTCAAAATACATTCCAGCCTCTTCTTCCTTGGCTCAGAGTTACTGTCTGATTTACAACAGAGACATGGTATAACTTAGAACTTACCAAGTTAGGACTTATCTTGGCACTGATATCCCATATAAAATCAGAATAATTAAATCTTCACGGATCAGTTATTCCAGCTCAAAGTGAATTTCTTCAATATTGGGAAACCGGGACATTGTTAAAACACTAGCAAAGAAGCTAACAGCCATTCCAGCTGCATCCACTGTGCAGGCAGTTGTGTGCTAACCTGTAATTTCAAGGTGCCCCTTTCCGTCTCCACTATTTCCAATGTTTTGTCACATCACTGTTCTTGATTAATTTACACACCACAGTTCAGTTTGTTTTAAGGACAGGGAGAATTCAGAAGTAGAAACCAATAATATGCTTGATACAGGGCCTACCACATATGCCCACAGAGTGGGTTTTGCAAGTGCATGCAGCTTTTTTTGTTTAAAAAAAGAAAAAAGTCAGTCTCTTTTTGGGTTTAGTTTCATTCACATCCATGCCTAACCAGGAACACAGGGCAGTCTAGTATTCCTCAAGTAACCTGGCAACAAACCAAAAAGCTGAGAAGGGAGAGCCAAAAATGAAGCCAGAAAATGGATTTTAGTTTCAGGCTGAAGTTAATAATACGGAAAAGTAATTTTTAAATGACTCCTATTCCTCTCCGCATGACTTGAAACCCTAGTACAAACTAAATAAGATGCCAGCTTTCGAGGACAGACAGATACGAGCACTTTACAGGATCTCAAGGTCTGCATAATGAATTTTAGAAGCTGCGATGAGAATTACCTTGCTTGTTTCAGGACTCTCTGGGTCAAACTGGACCTGCTTAGCTGCAAGCTCTCTGCCCGTGTCCACATCATAGCACAAATACACACGACCAAAGGCACCCTGGCCCAGCAGTTTTCCTCGCCGCCAGTTTATTGGAGCACTCGGAGCTAAAAAAGAACATTAATAATTTCTCTTTTCATTATAATATTTAAAGATAATGGTGATCTTTGAAAAGATCAATGCCCATCATACTGGGATTGAAACAGGTATTTTGCAGTTGAAGAAACAGACACGAGGCACTCTCCCAGTCTAAGGGAGTTAGTGGCAAAACTCTGAACAGAATCCAACCATTCACGCTGACTGGTGTCCCATTAAAATGAAACTGCAAAACATTTTGGAGAGATATACTATAGACAAGTTATTCTTTGAGGCTGATGAAATTTCATTCCACCAGCAGGGTGGATTCTACAACATCGCTATCTTTAGAGATGGTGCAGCAATTAATCGGCATCTTCCAACCTTGATGTGTAGTTACTACATGCATCAGATGAAGAAGAGCTGATCAGCCTTGCTAAATCAAAACCACCCAGCTGGGAACAACTTCTGGAACAACCTGAAGGACATAAATTCTGAGTTCTTTGCCAACCACTGGTTAGTTTGGGGTTCCTTCTCCTGTGGGAAGGATTTCACTGCAAGGCTATTAGAAGCAGAAAAAATTAGAAGTCATAATTCCCTATTAGAAACTGATAAGGTAGGGGCCATCACATAAGCACAGTGCAGGTATCTTCC